GGTGAGGGCTGAACCCGTGGATATTTCTGTTTGTTGATTATGCATGTTTATGTTTATTTTGTTGGTTTAAAAAAAAAATACACATTTATTCCCTTATCTGTCCGTCTTTCGTCGCCCCGGTCTCCCCCCCCCCCCAGCCCTAAGCATCATACAAATATGGAAAAAAAAAATTCTAGGTGGGAAATTTTCTGTTCGATCAGCCCCCCCCCCTCCCCCCACGCCCCGCCCGCCCACCGCCCCCAACACACTGCACGTTCCCACGCTCGCAAAGTACGTCCCTCTTTCGTTCCCTCCGGACCAGCAGTCTCTCGGACGGAGATCTGAGCCAAGTGCCACTTCGTCTCTCCAGAAATCTCTCAGACTCACTAGGAGAGTCTCCCCCGATAGGAAAAGCACAGATAGATTTCCAGCAGCTTCCAGCGCGTACCTTTCCCCGGCCAGGACACGGTGGTCAGCAGCCCACGGACGTCCAATTGGCAAATAGCCGGAAACTGCCTCAAAACCTCCCATTACCCATCCGCGCAAACCCGTCACCTTTGCCATGTAGTTAGATGCAACCGCCGATTCATGCCGTTAAGTTCTCGACTCCCTCACCGTCCACTCATCACCGCATCCCATAAAATCAGATCACAGGGACAGAGACTGAAGTAATACTCCCCGACATCACTGAACAGACGCGAATCGAGGGAATGTGTGATTTCTAATATACGAGACATTTACCGGCAGACAATGACAGGCGACTGATGTCATTTGCGTAACTCGACTTAAATAATTCTGATTGTGTGATTGGATAATAACCATGGCCTCCTGTAGATAAAAGTGATGTGCAGATATGCAGCAAGCTTGAATTAAGAAATACAAATAATTAACTGCCTTGGCATACGGAAAATCATTGAACAGAAATAAAATTGCAATGTCTTTGTTTTAACTAACATGTTACAAAAAATCGTCCAAAATAAAAATAATTCTTTTGCATTTTGCGTTTACAACCAAAGCGCTGGCTCGCGGAAGGATGAAAATGTGATATTGTATTGCACAGCCGACTCCACTGCACTTTTACACACTGGTAGGACATTCATATAGACAACTGAAAACCGATGCTTCGAATAAGTTCTTCCTTTGTTACGGTATGATATAACGATGGAAAGTATTATAATGGTAACAACTTTAACTTGGAAAAGCTTTTATGTATAAAGTAACATCGTGGGCAGGTTGGCCATATAGATGGTTAATTGAAATAAGAAAAGACAGTAACGAGGGGAAACAACCGCAAAACAAGACCCGAAGTCCCCCCTCGACACGCTTGGATGACGACCCTCTGTGACCCCGTACTGACACGAGGCCATAGGTCAGCTGTTGCAGTGGAGCCCGACAGTGCAGTCTGCCTCTCGGATTCAGGGACTACAATTTTCTGCATTTCATTACTCTGGGAAATTTTGTGTTTAAGGGAACTGCCAGGGAAGTATCTACCAACGAGGCGTCAGGCATTTGTTTTCATGTTTGTGCGTATGGGTATGAATGTGTCTGTATGTATGTGCATAAGTATATGTGAATATGTGTATGGGTAACGTAAACATACATATCTAGATTGTAGCAGTCCTGGTCACACCCGCACACATCATACAGAAGCCAGGTTGGGCTTTTGCCAGCTGGGGAGACAGCGAGCTGCCTCTTCGATCTTCTTTCACAAACATGCCCAACACTCACCCAGTGTAGTGTGGGACCTGTTTCAACCCACTTAAAACTTCACAAACAGTACATAGAAAACAAAATCTAATGACAGTTTAAACTATCTACAATGGATATAGAAAAATATGTTTGCGTGTGCACTTGTTGCTCGGTGACTAGAAGGAGTGGAAATCAGCACTGCCAGGGAGAGCAACTGACAAGTAAGACTAACACATTTTTTGTAGCTAATATCAAGCCTTGGCTTATTCTGTGGCCTTTAGCTGCACATGTGTAGTTCCTTACGAAAAAGGACCTTTCAGGCAGTCAACCCATGGAGGTTAAAGTGTGGCCCACAAAGCAAGCTGCCCAACTCGTTTCAAGTTCCCCATGAAAGGTTTGGTAATTTTGCCCAACCCACAGTCCAACCTAAATTGCTAGATTCTGGCAATGCACACTAAAACTGGTTATACCTGGACCTTGAAGTCGTGTAGCTTGATCCTTCTACACAGGTACCAATATCTCCAAACATTCCTATCGAGAGCTTATGAGTTCTGCCATCTCACCATCCCATTTGTTGAAATCTTGTTCCAGCAGCCTAGAAAAATGAATTGAACTCCTAAGACATGGCTTCGGTAAAAGAAACCTCTAGACTCAGTGCTTTTACCTTACTGCTAAATGTATCAAAAGTCGCTAATAGAGACCAGTCTCAAGTACATGCAAGTATTGAAAAATGATGATACAACATGCATCCTTGTCTCACTTCTGAATTTGCAGGAAAGAAGTCAGACGTATCCCTCTGCATATTTTATTAATAGGTTTGTTGCTTCACCAATAATGGCTTAAAGCACAAGGAGGTCTCTGGTAAATAACAAAAGGAAGTAAGCAAGCATCTCGCCTGGTATGTTGAGCAGTGTGATGCCTCAATGGTCGCTGTGTTTCCAAGCCTCGTCCTTCTTTTCCATAGAGTAATGTAAGTCACGTTTGCCCTCCCATTGCGTTGTACAGTATTTTACATATTTCTTGCCTATGAACTTGCTGGCTTTTAGGCTCGAAACATGAGGTCAATATAGAAAGATGATCCAACTTAACCTAATCTAAAGTTGATGAGACTTTATATTTCTTGAACCGTATTCATGTTGACAAATGTAGAAAAGGTATGAATGAGAATGGATATCTTCACAATACAAGAGATGTATTTGACCGGTTTCGATTCTATCTTCGTCAGAAATACACAGACACGTATATGTATTTCTGGCGAAGATAGAATCGAAACCGGTCAAATACATCTCTTGTATTGTGAAGATATCCACCCTCATTCATACCTTTCTACATTTATATTTCTTTTAGAGGAACTTCCAGTATTCTTTTACATTTTTACAAGATAGGTGTATACATATAGAATAATTCGTGTTTGAATATTAATAAAGAGACGGCCATAACCCTCCTTAAGTCCGGCAAAGTGATGCTACAGTTCTGGGTGGCGGTCCCTCGATGAGAAGGATATCAGGCACATGGTTCATTCGGGGCAAATTGGATAGTTCTTAGCACGTTGTATATAACGTGAATTATGTCTGATATATTTTAAGGAATCCTTTATTATGAAAAAAAGATATTGGTATTCAAAAGATCGTCCCTGCCAGTAGCCATTTTAATAGGCGTCTACCGTAGCCGACCCCCGCAACCTGCAGCACGGCATACTTCCCCGGGTTGGGTCCAGGTCCTTCAGCCGCGTCCTCATGCACCTCACCATCAGCGGTTTCTCGATGACTAATGCCGAGACCTGAATGGATGAGGACGGACAGCTCCCGGTTCGCCCATTGGACCGCAGGCTCCCCTCGCTCCCGGGGCACTCACACCCACACACAAAAGCTTCTTAAAGAGAGGAATGACACCAGACCATGGCGGATGCAAATCCATTGCCATACTACCGCGTGGCCAGCTAACTGCGCGCGACGCCTGGCGTCCCCAAGGTCTGCAGTGGGATCCTTCGCGGTCAAAGGCCGTTTGATTTGACCGTTTGCATCGTTGAGCCAGTCCATGGTGTTGACTTGGTGCCCTTTTTATCATACAGATCGACACCAACATTATCTTCCTCAGAGAGAGGTGTCCAAAGATACGTGTTTCAAATACCTGTCTTTGTTTGTTTATGGCCAGCTAATTATTCCTGTAAACCAACTGTCAAGAAAGCTACAAGTTTCCAAAGCTTGTCGAACAGGAGCTTTATCGAAAGCTAGCTCACGTTGCCTGCCTCGTGGCCCAGGTCTTGGGCGGCCGCAAAAGTGCTGGTATTTTACGTTAATGTTGATAATAAAGAATTTCATTTTTCCCTCCAGTTACGAGGAAACCAAACCAAAAGAAAAAAGAAACATAATGCGGGCTGGTTTCCATTGCGTTTATTGTTTATGAAAGAATTTTCCATTTGTAATAACTACCATTTTAGACCTTTACCTAAATGTAACCATTTTTGAAGGTAATATGAACAAAGCATTTTCGAAGAAAATAATCGTTTGTGTAGAAAAAAAAACATTTTTCAGTAATCGTTACACATGAAAAATTTAGCACTTGGGTGGGCAAAATAGATAGGTAGGTAATATGCATGAATGTACAGTGTTTTCCGATATGTTTCGGTTCGCGTTTACAGCGAGAGAATTTTGAGATCATGTTAGTGTGTGTGTGTCGTTGTGTGTGTGTGTGTGTTTCTGTCTGTGTGTGTCTGTCTGTTTTGTTTGGAGTTATTTTTTTCTTATCTGTTCCATGTAAATGTTCTAGCTTCGCTGAGCGAGTCTCGCATCGTGGTAATTCCATGGGCTTAATAACCGTTACTGTTTAAGCATTGATGTTCTGTGTGGTTTTGTTTGTGCGAAAATCAGTGTTCATGTGTCGTTTGACGTATGCATTTGTATCTGTTGGTCGTACTTGGTCTAATACACATTTTTGTCTGACCAAAATTAGATAAAACTTTTAAAGTTGTCAATCTAGGCTACATTTCTCATCTGTGTCAGAGGTAATATCCGTGAAGTTATTTTTTCAAATGAATTAGACATTTTGATCCATCATGAATATTGACTTATCTGTGTCAGAGATGTTTTTTACGTGTAAAGTTCAGTCTAGTTTTGTTGTTACGTGCGATGTATCGTGTGTTCAATGTTACATTTATTCGTCGTTTGGCTTTACATGTTATGAATGATTGTTTGATATTGTATAAGTCGTGCATAAATGTATATGTTATGATATGCTGGTGAGATACGTGTTTTCCTCATACACAAATATATATAATGTGCAGAATTTTGCATTCAGTAAATGCATGAAATCCACATACAAGTATAACATAC